GCGATTTTTGGCGCATATTTCCTATGTTTACTTTAGTCAATAAAGATTGACGTACTTTAATCACTTTTAACATTTTTCATGAATATAGATGTTTCAAAGAAAACGAATGATAATACTTGCCTAACTATGAAAAAGTAAATAATGAAGTATTTAAACTTTAAACTTCTGAGGCTGTTTTTCGCAAATTTGACAAGTATCTTTAGGCAAGATGTAGGCACGACACTCGAAAATATGTATATGTCAATACGCAGATTCCCGTGACGTGAAAAGATCGCTTTTGTATCAAGAGAAATTTTCGTAAACTTTAATTAAGCGCGCTGTGTCTTCGCGATTCGATCGTAGACCGCAAGTACCCTTACCGCAATGCAGAATGCATGTTACAATTTCGTACGTGCATATGCTCAAGTGTATTCAACGTAAATATAACTTTAAGTGCCTTTTACCACAAGGCAGCACAAAATTTATAGCCACGCGATGTTCACGCAATTTGCTTTCACGTATCTTAAAATATAAAACGTAATATAAGGAAAATCTAATGTCATCCAGAGTAGTTATTTCTCATAAAACACCGGTTTTCGCTTATGATGTACGAGTAACAAACGTGCGACAGACGGGTTGACGGATGATCTCAATTTTCGGGGACGTATCCTTTTCTCAAGTATTTATGGACTGATTTGTCTCTTAAGTTTGTTTTACTTTTGCGAGCTTTAATGGAAAGTTTAATATTGGATTGCTCTAAAAATACATTTTATTTATATTTATTATTATATATGTATATTCAATATATTTAATTGTTCGTCGAAATCGTTAAATTCGGCAATTAGTAACACATGAAATAAAACAGACATTCATAACATGAATATCATTAAAATGTTTATTAATAGAAATATACATAATTGTTTCTTGTTGGAAATATTTAATACATTTTTTGTTTAGAGAACACTACCCTTCTTTTTTCAAAATGTTCGCTTTATTTACGAGATAACACTTCAGTTATCTTACGTTTATTTTTCCTTCTCTTTATGATCATGAAGATTTGCAGGTGCCCTAGTTTTTTTCATTATTATTCTAGTCGCACGTAAAAAGATATTATCGTTCCAGTCGGACGTCATATTCTACGTAAATCATATACAGTAGGACAATTATAACGTACTATATTTTTACCGGAAACGACATTGAACCAATTGAAGTTAACATTTTAACAGCGACTTTTTTTTAAATTTAACAAGTCCATTCGATTCAATTTTTAAAATTCTGCTACGTTTTTTTTTTAGAAATATTAATTTTGTTTAATCGACGGATTAAACGTCGGTGTTGCTTGGCTGGTAATAATGTATTGTCACAGAGAATAACGATTTTCTTTTCTATATAGTAAAGCTTTGCTCTATCAGGCACAGCAAACCGCTCGGATGCTCGTGAAAGACTTGAAAGGGAAAGCCCGACTATTCTCCGTCCGATGAAAATATTTTTCACAGCATGTAAGTCGTTGCATTCAGTGGCGCGAACGTAGGTGGACCTCAATGTCGGAGTTAAAAATCGTGAATAAATAATTGAAGCGTAACAAAGCGGTACACGGTGTATAAGCAATTAACACGTGTAATTATGAAACACGTGTATATTATAACATAATAGTTAAAACAAGTAATAATTATATCACGGAAAATATTTAATAATAGAGCGCGATTTGTATCAAAATAGAATCATATTATCTGAATTTTTCATTATCTCATTAATAATTAATCATCGGCTATACCATGACATTAAATTGCGTTAATTCTGCTAAATAACTCCTTTTCACACAGAACACAATTTTCTTAATATTTTATTCCTAAAATAAAACTTATTTATTAAACATCATTAATGCAAAAATAACTTACGCATAAATACAGCGTATCATAAAATTATCAAATCTATATAGTAAGAAAAAATGTACTAAATTGTAATAAATATTTGTTTGAAGGAATTGTACAAATTGAATATTTACTAAATATATTTATTTAGTACAAAATCCGTTCATTTAACTATATCTTTTACTTTAGTTATTATTTATTTACAATAGAAGTAAATGTTAAGTTAATACTAGTAAAAAATATTTATGAAAATTTAATATATGCGCGTCTTAGAATTATGCAACTTTTAAATTAAAAAATTTTAAACGCAACTGTGTGTGTGAAGTGATTTTTATAATATATGGCCATCAGAAAATCGTCGCTGCCATTCGGAGGGTTTCAGCCCCAGTCAGAAAAGATAAGCGTTTATCGCGCGGTCCATATCGCAGGCGTGTTTCACTTTCTCCGAAAATCTCATTGGAAGTGAGAAGACGAGGGATGCTGGAGAGCCACGTCTAACAGGCTTTTCTCCCGCGATTTTACGCCACTGTGAGCGCGCTAGGCCGTTGCGGAACACGCTCGTAGAAGGCTCCCGGAGTATAAAGGCGGTCCAATGTAAACCACAAGCTCCATTTGTTGTTCGTAAGCCCGAGGCACACCGAGGGCGCCGCCGGACGCGGCTTTGTCTGTTGTATTTTCGTTGGCACGGCACCGGGTAACCGCAACCGCGGTATACCGCCGCCACGCAATCCGGAGGAAAGGTCAGCCGGCACCGCCGTGCTCGACGACTCGTGCAAGACAGCCGCGCAAATTGCTGGGACACCTGATCCGCGCCCGGTCCTTTTCATCGGCCACGCGATTCTTATCAGCCACGCGAGGCTTTGCGGGATGTGTACTCCGTGCCCTAATTCGATTTGAATACCGTGAGTGCGATGCCCGCGAGTGCGCAAAACGGCCAACGTCTTAATCACAGTCTTCTCAGACACAATTAGTTGCAATTGAGGAATAATTGTTTCTGTTATTTTTATAAAATTACGCGTTGCGATGTTTAGTTGTTGAAATTTTAAAGAGCTTTTAGATGATATTTTAACGATTTGTTAAAACGAAATGGATTGTGTGAAATTATTTAATAAACAGGAAGAACGGTTTTGCTGAAATGTCTAATAATTTACACATGTAAAAACAACTTTTTGTTAGACTATCAAAATAATTATGTAAAACGCTCGAGCTAGTCTGCTAGAATGTCAAAACTTTTTGCAGCATTGCTCAGTTTTCTACATAATATTTTGTTGATCTAATAAAATTATTTTCAGATCTGTATTTAGATAAATTTTTAGATACTTCAACAAATCATTCTCTCTGTGTAAGTTGCATTTCACATTGAATTATATTAATTAGATATAACACTGAAATGTTATTGCGCGCCACTCTACTGATCTGCTTTTCCAGTGGATTTTTTAAATATTCAAAACAAATCAGTTTGCTCTAGGCAAATGATAATATCCGCTGATCGTATGCTAGCAACTGTTAATTTTGCACGTAATAATTTCAGAGGCATGTAAATTTATTCGGTTTGAATTAACGGTCCGTCCATTATTGCAGTTGTAATCTAGGATGAGCTCGCGAACGGATCATCGGGAATACCATCGACAAATGAAACGCAAGGCTGAATAATGCACTGTGCAGTGGTAATCTCGCGCTATCATTGTTATGACGTAGCCCGAGAGGAAGGATGCAGCACGGCAAAGGAGGATAGAAGACACGGAACGCTCGAAAAGGTGCATGTACAGGTAATGAACTTCATACTTTGTGCTTTTGAGACTCTTTTTTTACTTTTGTAAAGTTTTACATTTATCATCCTATTGTAGAAATATGAATCAAGACATAATTAAGGAACGCTGAAAACTGAAGGATTTATAGCTTAAAAGAAATTTTTATTTAGTTTTGAGCCAACATTTGGATGAATATTTGATAGCTTATTATTTTTATAGGTCCTAAAAAATAAATTCTTTTGTAGTCTCAATTAAATTTGAGAGTTTATTATATGCAAAATTACAACGTAATACAAAATTATAACAGTATAGTAATTTTGACATCCACTATTAAAGATGTATATTTACACATGCGTGAAGTAAAATTACAATTTATAATATAAATAAAAAATAATATTAGCATTAGGAAAAGGTTCGACAATAATAAATAAATATTAAAATAATTTAACAGATTTATTTCGGTTTGTTGCCCGTTAAATTATTTTAATATTTATTTATAAATGAAATTATTTTCTTTACAGTAATTATACAATTTGCAAAGAGAAAAATTTCCAGTTAAAGTTAATATTTTACAAATCGTGTATACATATATTACATAATTACACCATTTGATATCAAACTACTGATATAAACTGGAGCATATAATTTTTTGACGTGAACACGTACCATTTAATTATGTATATAATTGTTTTTTAATTACCGAACAACATTTCGCTTATATTTTGTCGATAACAATTGCATGCAATAATAATAGATGATTAAGATGAGTACATACATATATCGATAAGACTGATGTTCTTACGCGACAGCACTATGTCATTGTCGAACCGGAAGTTCCAGTCCGGAACGTCGAAATTCGCACGATGGCACTGTGCCGTCGGTAAACCGCAAAGTGTTAAGTTCAGATGCTTTCTGTTTGATGACACAAGTTGACGCAAGTGCCGTTCTATCTTTGTTACTCTCCAAACGCCAAGATAGAGTGATGTTTGTGACAACTTGTGTAACTAAATGGAAAGCACCTTTTATAGAAATATTTAATTTGTTAATTCGTTAACAAATTTAACTGTGCAATATTTCTTAAGCTATGTTACTGATATATAAATATAAAAATGCAAATGTAATATATATGATATATCATTTATCATGTATTTACATAATATTACAAAAATTTGTACATTTATATAAAAACTATAAAATATGCTATTGTAATTTCTCGTCTATAAAGATATGTATATTGATACGTAAAAATACTCATTTTTGTAAAAACGAACAATATTTTATGTATTTCACTATAAATTGTGTAATTCTTATACATATTTATGTAATTTTATGTACTTTTTTTGCAGTGTACGCAGACTGACGTCTGGCTTTTGCACGGTAAAGACGCACGGCTATAATAAGAAGCAGAAGTGGAGACGGACACGTGTGCGGAAGGAGACGCGGTCCACCTCCGGCCCGCCATCCTGGCGGCATGGTCCTTTGGGCCACAATACTAATCCTTCAAGGAGCTGGATTTGTAGGTAAGCGCGAAATTAGTGGAAAGCGTTAGAAAATATTTTATGAGAGAACGAGAAAGAAGAAACGTAAATCCTTTGAAATGAAATCCGCAAAAGTAAACAAAATTTTAGTTAAAAAGAAATATATAATTTTTAACGCAAGCAGCTTTAACGATATATTTACAGTTGAAGCTAAGAAAAGATACAATTGAATGAATGAAGAAAGAATTCTATTTCTCTGATCGAACGAAACGGCGATAGTTTTAGTATAACCAGTGGTCTCGACAAGCGGATATTACCGTATAACGACAGGTACTCCATATTGATTGTTCGCAGGCTCGGTGACAGGCATTCCCGGCGTCCCGGAAAACATAACGGTGATGTTCCTGAACCCGACGTCTGTGCGCGTGTCTTGGAGCACCAGCCAGGTCGAGCAGGTCGAGAAATACGACGTCACGTACAAGCCAACCGACGCCAGGTGCGTTCCAGTGATTCTGATATTGCGGGTCGCGCGCGGAAAAGGTTTAGATTTTTATTTCGCAGACGGCATTCGAATGAAAACACCAGTCTCGCGTTCTATCGAGTATTGGGTCCTTTTGAGAGAAATGGACTCAGTAAAACGTACCATATATCTGAGTACATTCCTCATAATGCCTAGGTATTCTTATTACTATTGTTGTTCAAAAATGAGAAAGTTATTTACAGAAATTGTGAGTTATCAGATAATATCAACACGAATCTTTTTCAGCTTCAAAGTTAGTCTTTCATAAACTTAATCGAATGGTTCTCGTGTCTCGCACATAATTCCTTCTACGTTATGTTCAGTAACGAGTGCGCGAGTTTTCGTTTGCGTAGAGAGAAAATTTTGCTTATCCACATAAAAATAAAAGTCGATAAGCCGTGGAATTAATTTATCATATATACACTTGTCCTTTATTGATAATCGAAAAATAACATCATTTTTCGTTCGAAAACCTACATCTCTTTTTTGAACATTTTTTCCTCTCGCACACCGACGCAACTGAATTGCTGACATACTTAGATGTTCGCGAATCGTGACAAAATGCCGCATTGCAGACATTTAGGCTTATCGAATCTAGGATAGTGTATATGTATAAAAAGTTTAACAACGGTAACGTACGAAATGTTACAACCTGTGCCAGATATATCGACGCTTGTATACTGTTGAGAAAGAGTCGAGAGGATAGTAAGAGGTCGGGTTGTGCGTGACACGCGCGTGTTTGATCTCGTGCTTGGTCTCGTTCAATACAACAGCACGCATATTACACGCCATCACTAATTTCCTTTAAATTATCGCCGAGAACATCGAAATGTTTTCTGAATATTATCACATATTCACGTTTAAAAACCAAATTATTCAGCTGGCACACGCTTATTAATCTGAATTTTATGTACAGACTCGACAAGAATCGATGAAAGATTATACGTGCGTGTATAATATATCAGTCTGTAAATGTTAATGAGCAAGTTTTTACTTCTTTCTTGGTTATTTTCATATTAGGATCTATCTTTAATACACATATTTAAAGTTCTTTTAACTTTAATCTTTAAAAATTTAATGTAACATTATTTCTATTGTTGCGCGACTTAAACTCAGTTAGATTGACTGTCATCCAAAATTGATGCAGATCGTTACTAACAAGCCGACATTATTTGTCGTTACATTGACGACGTTTTGACAAATAACGTCACCTTACTACTTGGGTAGACAAAGATTTAAAATTACAGTTTTAATATTTAATATTAGAGAAATGTGTCATAGAGAAAGTGTACTGAAAAAAATTTCTGGTTGAAAATTAACAAATTAGAAAGGTTCTGATCATATCAATTAGAATGTTATCTCAATTAAAATTATAATAGATTAAATCAGAAAATTTTAATTTGTCCATTTTTAATCAGAATTAATACAATCAAATCGTTTTCCAGTGTTTATTTCAGTGTGTATTTCCAATGTAATTTTTTTAAATGAAAAATATAGAGGACAATTACGAGAGTCGTCTATATAAATAAATCAATAAATTTATATATGTAATAAAATTAAAACTATAATTAGATAAAATTAAAGTGAATACATAACACGTTTCGGTTTCTGGATTGAGCCTTCATCAGATGTAGATAAAACCATAATATCTCAGTGACGATAGAGCTGTAAAAGTATGCGTGTGTTGCGATGCCAAATGAGTGACTCTCCAAGAGAATAAATTCGCTGACAAAGAATTGGTAAATCCGACAGCACTCATGCTCATCATCGATTCTGCCAACATTTGATTTACCAATCCTTTGTCAGCGAATTTATTCTCTTGGAGAGTCACCGAAATATTATGGTTTCATTTACATCTGATGAAGGCTCAATCCAGGAACCGAAACATGTTGTGTATTCATTTTAATTTTATTTAATTATAGTTTTAATTTCATTATATATATTAGGTGTACAAATTAATTCTCGGCCTTTTTTGACCTCCCCAGCTGTTTTAGGTTGATAGGAAACGTCTTGCTGGGTTTACTCCAAGCGTATTTGCAAATTCTAATTGCGTTTGGCAAGAATTCAAAATTTCCTCCAATTCCACGTCTTCCACTTTTTTTTGTTAACCAGGTTAACCGTTCATTCTCAAGGTCGAAATTTCGCTCTCGAAACTGTTGGAACCATTTTTTACACGTACTGTACGATACAGCATTTTCGCCCAAAGCCAAACAAATAATTTCTTTTGCCTCAGCTGCGTTTTTTTTTAAGTTGAAACGCGAAAAGAAAGCAGTGCCTTAAATGGTTGCTTTTCGAACGACATCGTGTTTATTGCTGATTTTTCAGGTTATGTTCACAGGAGGATTAAGTATTGTACCTCATTTTAAAGCTAAAAAATGGCATTTCAAAATGACTACAGAGGGGGGAAGAGTTCAACTTAAACGGGTTCTGAGGTCGCTGAAAGATAGGGGTCGAAAATTAATTATCAATTTATTGATTTATTTAGATAGACGACTCCCTCGTAATTTCCCTCTACATTTTTGTTAGTGTTTTGACATCGAGAGCTTCGTTTATCAATATTTATTTTTAAAATGACATTTTTAAATAATGAACAATATTCGTTCCTATCATTGAGTAGCTAGAATTAAATCTGTTTAGGAGGAGATATGAATTAATTCATACAAAATTATGAAAAAGGATTTTGGGCTTGGCTGCACAAATTTGTCTTTTATCACGAAAACAGAGCGTTTAACTTAACGTACGTGCGTGAATCACACAAATAGTACATTTGAGCGAAAAAATGTGCCTAAAAAAACAATTAGAATCGCATTATAGGAACCCATTTGCGGTCCGAATGTGTTTGCTTTTATCAGATCGATAGATCTGCACCGAAACGTGCAGACTGCAGATGAATCACAATAAGGTAGAAGGTTTAGAAACAGATTTATAGACATATTAAACTAGGTGAGATAGACGATTTATCGAGTCGATATTCACATCAGTTCAAGAGGATTTTATATTAAATGAGAATTTTTACCTCTTTTTGCGGCACAGGAATTATGACGACAGGTATATCCCGCTTTTCCTTTAAATGACACGTTTCTTTTGCTTAACTCGTGAGTGTTCGTCAAATACGTCGCATTTTAAACAAAGTACATACAGGTATAACAAATATTACGAATACATTTTGAAATGTTTTGTACGTTTTAATTAAATTGAACACGAATTGATCTGTATAATCATGTTTTGCTTAATAATTTTTAATTTTTATTTTGAAATAATGTCAAGCTTATGATATTTTATATTTAATTTTTTAAATCGACACTCAATTAATTTATATAATTGTGAGATTATTATTTTAGCATGTGATTGTATTTCAAGTCCATCAAGCCGCCGTGTCGACAGTCTATAAGACTAATAATCGTGTTTGTATATTCAAACATAAATATATTACGAAGCACTAAGACTCGTGATCAAAAATGACTTTCTTTTCTTATATTAATTTTTTATATTTATCAACCAGTAAAATCCCTCAATTTATCTTATTTAATTTGTTAATTATGCAATTTGCCGTAATCATTGAATGAATTTTTTAGATCCACAACGCACCAATTACTCATATTGAAAAGGATGATAAAATATATTGTATAAAATATTTATTTTGTGATAAAAAATCCTTTTGCAATGAATTTTACGTTATACAAATTTAAAGACGAGATATGCTTTTTCTTCTTCAAATGTTGCAATCCGATTATTAATTAAAACGATATTATAGTATAAATAATATAGTATAATCGATAATATTATTTATAAAACGTTGCCTTGTTTAATGACTGTGTAATACAATATTATTCTTGAAGTAAGTATACATCAGCGCGAATACTCACGAGTTAAAAATTGAACAAGGTCATATGTTTCGTTTATCACTAGTACAATGATAATCCCATTCTATGCGCAGATACATGGATTTCCATGATACGTATTGATCCGCGCTATGTTCAGTGTTTAAATTCTTGTGTTTAATCTTTATTTATATTTAATGTCGTAGTGGCAAAGCTAAGTAATATAAAAAAATTATGAAATACTCTAATATTTTTGTAAAAATATTAGTTTTTATTGATCTGAAAATGTATAGTTTTGCAATGAAGAGCATTATTAAAATTGACATTATAATTATAGCAAAAGGATTTTTAGAATTTTTATTTAAATTTTAATAAAAATATTGCATTAAGACTTTACATAAAAGAAAAAGCTTAGAAGTTATTTTGTTATTACTAACGTAATAACAAAAAATATCATAAAAGTACCATTAGTAGATAGTAAAAACGCCATTAATAAAAAATGCATTAAAAAACAGAAAATCTTTTAAAATCTTCCCTTTGCATTTTAGAATTAAAATGTGCCTTCTGGAATTATCTTTACATACATGCGTAAAATGTTATAAGCTATTTTTATGGAATAAAGATTTTCTGAGATAATGTATAATATATTTACTTTATGCAAATTCATTGTTATAGATAACTATTTGACATTATTATAAAAGTAATGTTTTAGAAAACTCTTTATCGGGTTTATTTATTTCACCAAGAAATGGAATTCTATCCGACAGTAGTTCGTATGCAACTAATTTAACCGATTCACTAGAATAAGTTATTACGTACACAGTAGAGGAATCAAGTTTATCGTGACGTGCTTGCGCGAAAGGTTTAATTTCGCACCTGTTCAGAATAAACTTTTGCATAAGTTACTGGCAACAGCTTATACATATATGAGCAACTTTCTTTAGTATCCACTTTAATAACGTATCATGTATTAATTAATTTTGCACTTTATCTTTATTGTGTTTATTTCTCTTTCTTTTTCTATTGACATAATATAAAATGACCAAACACATAACTTAGAACGTAGAAGCGAATTTTGGAAATATTCGTAAAGTTTAATATTAACAATAGAATATACAATATATGTATAAAATACATACATAAATATATCATTTTTATATTGAGTACTTATTAATTTTTTATTCTCTTTTTATCTTGTGTGTGTGTGTGTGTGTGTGTGTGTGTGTATCAAATCAAATATATATTAAATATTCTCTGTATATATTAAATTTACGAACCATTAGTCTCTGATAAGTAATGTACACTGTAACATACGCAACACTAACGAACTCGACATGTTAATATATTATTGATATAAATATATTTTACGTAAATGTGGAAGAAATAGCAAATAATCGGATTTGTGACATTTACAGACAGTAATGTACCATTAAAATAATAACATAATGGAACAAAAAATAGAGTTTAACTTATGCAAACTGTGGACAGAAAGAAAACATCAAATTTATGACGAACCGATATTTTCCATTATTTGAACGTGGTTTATTGATTGCGTCGATTTACACTTTCCCGAAATTACATTAGAGTTCAAATATTTTAAAATCCTTTTTTTTTTAATACACGAAACATATTTTTTCATATAAAAATATCGATAAAACATGTTGTTATTTATTCCAATTTTATAATATTCGACGTTAAATATTTATATTAGAATAAAAAGATGGTATTTGTAATAACATTTTCTATCAAATTAAAATTTAATTTATATTTATCCAAAATTTTTTTATTTTTTTCAATCTTGAAATGTAATTATTGAAAATTATAAAAATATTGTATAAAACATTTGCTTTCTTGAAACTTAATTTTACAAGTATTTCTAAAATTTCTCGCTCGATTATAAACAATTTTGTAGGCATTTTTATTAAGGGAAAAAATCGATCTTTTTTCTCTTTCTAAAACGAGAGAAGGTACGTTTGATGACATACGCCTCGCGTGTTGATTTATTGAAACGCGAACATGAGAAGGTCAAACGGCCTGTTGCAGCGTTCGTTTACCTAAATGTGATCGGTGGCAGGAGTGCTTTTGTGTATTGCGCAAATACATAACATCGATTTATGCTACGATAAGACAGAGTCCAAGTGTTACGGGGTCTTATGTAAAATCCAACATGCACTTATATACAGAAATTATGCCTTACAGAAATTATGTCTTTATGTAATGACGATAAGGCACGAAAAGGGTTAGATATATTAAATAGGTCAATCGGAAAATTTTGCTTGCCGGGAAACGTGCTGTAACTGATTTGCGGTCCAACTTTGTTTAACCAAATTGTTCTTATTCTATATTCCGCTCGCTTTAGAAGAGTTTTACATTATTCCTGACAATTCGCAGCGTTGTGTCTATATACATATATTTAGTATGTACATAAAATGTATTTTGCACAGATAAACGACACATGTATATGCACATTTTCCATTTTGAAAATAATGCTTAATATTACGTATGTTTGGTCATACGCAATAGTTTGTAACTTAAAGAACAACGTTATCATAGGCTTAACTGGACTTAGCTTTAACTGGACTTTAGCTTAATTTTGTCATAGAAAATATACAGTATGTGTGTTGAAAATAATATTATTATTATTTTTAACAAATAATATAAATTACAATTACTATGCTGAAACGATGACAATTATCACATGTAATTAATATTTTGAAAAGTTTAATATGTAACTTGCAGCATGAACATCGAAATTTTTATTAACTTCGTTCGATTATTGTTAAATTATATTATTTCTATACAAACGAATTGCTTCTGATGAACTATTTTATCTTCATTTAAAATATATAACGCAGAAATATGCAAATATTTTATTATTATATTATTATTTGAATATTTACACGAGCAATCTTAATAATAATTTTATTTAATAATAAGCTAAACAAAGCAGAACTTTCAGATGACAGCATTTCAGAGATTATTCTGATATTCTCTCGATCTTCCGTGATTGTTAACGGTCCATTTAATATCGTCAATTCAATTACCGTCACTTGTAACGTAAAGCGAATTTTCTATGTGTGAGTGAATCTGTCGAACTACTGCATAGCAGCGATAAATCGAAATTGCACTTCGATAACCTTCGATACAATCTACAAGAAAATGACCTTGCTGAAATAGGAGCATCTCTGCGTCTTTTACAAGGATACAGATTGCATTCTGAATTCTTGAAGTAGTATCGGAATTTACAAAGAGAGATAAGAGAAAATAAAATTCACAAAATTCGATCAGGATCGAGTTCTACAAAATAGCTAGCTTAATATTTCATTAGGAATTAATATATTATTGCATAAAGATCATGCAATATGTGTATGTAGTGATCGTAGACGAAATATATATAGATTGCACATTTCAATCTTAGTATCTATATTTCGTTAGAAAAAATTAATATAGCAGTATCTCTTTTCAATTCTATTTTAGAAAAAGAAAGAGAGAGGGTGGGCGGAGAGAAAGAGAACATATTATTAGAGCTTTATATTTATAAGAGTAGGGCTTATTTATTCGGAGCACATGCCGACAATCGTATTTTCCTATTGATTGCTTTTCCTTTGTATTTTCCTATTGATTAATTTCGATCTCCATTTTTGATTTAATTGGTCTATTGTTCAATAAGTGCTTAGTAATTCTTTAATATGACATAGTTATTAGGTCAAACGTGTCGATCATTTGCGCTATTCTTATAATAGAATTTTCGAGCAATATATTCAAGCTACCTCATTCTTTCTAAACTATATAACGACTACTTCTTATTACATCTATAGTACTGATCCCTACAAATGAGATTCGATTCGTAAGAGTAAAGATTAATTGGACATCGTGTTTCTTTATAACTTTTAAATATACGAAGCCTCAATAAGTGACGTATTCAAGTTATTAAATATAAATTTGTGTAACATTGAAATGTGATTATTTTTAAATGATCTATTATCTGCTTTAATTTGTTAAAGCTGATGACTTTTTACAGCTTTGAGAGCTCAATAATAAAATTATAAAGTCGCATTATAATGCAACTACTTTATCAAGATTTGCCATTATATTTCTCAAAGATTATTGATCGATTTATACGATGACAACAGTGTATTGAAATTCAATGCCCATCTATGGTACTACTCGAATTACGATCCCACTCCACCAAATAATGATGCGCATCAAATCGCATTCAATATTTTCATTTGTCTTATTTTTCATGCATTGTTAAAATATATCGATAAAATATAATGAATAAAAAATTATAACAATTATAATATATGCTACAGCAGGATCATTCAATCAATCGTCTAAAATAATTTTAGAGAAATTCATAGGTCTAAGCTGAAAAAGGATAAACTAACCCTGATAAACTAACGTATTATAATTAATTTAAATTATAAATAATAGAATAAATTAAAAATGTACTTTTTTTTTTACTGCTTAAAACAAATTTTTTTACACGATACATATTGTTCAGAATATTATAAGAAATAATTCAGTGAAAAGAAGTTTATACTTCCTTTGCCACTATAAATCGCTTTGTTGAAAATTAATGTATTATCATAATTTAATCGCTTAATACTTAAACGCTTTTTTAAGTAAAAATGCCTTTATCCTTGTGCTTCCTATTGATGTGGCTGTTATAAATGTGAAATGAATGGAATAAATCCCGTTTAATTTCTTTTTTTTATTGTCCGCTCTTTGTCTTTTCATTTCACCATAATCCATTTTATTAACCTGATACGAGTTCTTTTATTATCGCCATGGTCTCGCATTATAATGATGCATTGTGATACTCTATGTAGAGGGTCGTCAATTGCGTTATCAAAACTAATCGATTTTCATACATCTATACCAATTAGGTAGTAAATCGATTAAATCCGTATAATAAAAGAAAGCTTATTTCAAAAGTATAACAAGAATGATTAAATGTGTATATAAGAATGATTATATATGTGATTACTGGTGGCATGTTAGATGATCGCTGATAGGAGATTATATAATATTATTGATGATCGTTGAATGTATTCCTCAAATTGTTAATGTGTCAGTTTGGTACTGCGCCAGTTATTTATGATTATTAAATATGTCTACTGTTTAAAAATATGTTTATCATAGTATAATAATATTGCCGAAAGTGTAAATCATTTAAATATTTTCGTGTGTAAGATCGAAGTACTAGCAGAAAATAGTTGGCATTATTCTAATAATATAATTATAATATATATTTTATCATTAACATAATTTCACCGTATTATATATCTAGTTTCATAGAAATATTATCCGTCAATTTTTTAATTAAAAATTTATATATTTTCTAAACTAACTTTTTATTTTACAAAAAAAATTTTACAAAAAAACTTTTTATTTTACATCATAAAAATGTATTAAAAAATACTACGAACTTTGTAACAATTTAATTTATTTATTCGTCTTATCGCGGAAATTATTTTATGGCAATTACAATTAGGTAGAATTAGGGAAATCTCTCAGATAACGGTTCACTTGAAATATTTCTTTGAGAACGTTTGAAAAAAGTGCAAAAACGATCGTAAAGTGTAAAACACAGAATCATAACGGCAAGGTGGTTAGTTACAGGGTGGTGGCGGTGGTCGCGGGAAATAGCGAAGCAGTCACCTTGAGCGGCCTTCGGGCTGACACGCAATATCAACTGGTCGTAACCGCCGTGAGGGCCGGAAAGAAGTTTCGAAGCCGACCGATCGTCTTCCGTACACTCGGTAAGCTTTGCCTTCCTAAGCTTTACCTGTCTCCGGCATCACGGTCACACGTGACAGGTGCGTTCTGACAAAGGGAAATAGTTTTCTAATATTTTGTGTAGTTATTATTAGAACTTATCGTGACGCTTACTCCGTAGTCACCTCTCATTTCTAATTTATATTTCCACACAAAGAGCAACAAGCCGTATCGCATTTTACGGTATTTTTTTACAATACACTATATTTCTGCAATCTTCCTGGGGATACTCTTTATTTTTCTAAATATTATCTAATATTTATTATTCATATAATTGAACAAATATTTTCAACAACTCGGGAAAGTATATATTTTAAAATATCTTTAATTAAAAACATATTTTTTAGTAAGTTAAATGTTTAATGAGGTTTTGAATATTCTGATTAAAAATACAAAGAAGAACCAAACATTCTACAATTATTTTTTCGTTTCTCGGCGATTTAATACAAATAAAAAACAATATAAAAACAATAAAGTATATTTAAGTTAAATTAAGAATATTTAATTTAACTTATGGATTATTATATAAAATTGATTTTAACTGAACTTAGTACCGGCTTGCAGTCTTATGAAATATAAAAAAATATAACATATCTTATCCATTCTTTTGTATAATAAAAATATGTAGCAGAGTGGATTTCAGTTAATCCATTAGAGCTTACAATTTTATTTTTAGAACGTCGGAATATTAAAATGATAAAAAGTAAACTAAACTCTAAAAGAAACTAGCTTTTCAAAAGTTTAAATTAATCTTTCTTTTGCTCGCTTAAGCTCCCTTAATAACTGTCTCTTCAATCATACGCAGCACACAGAAATTAACTTGCAAAACAAGCTTATCAGTATTAATTTTTCCGACGCTGACATCGACGCGCAAAGTACCAAGCAAAATCCCACAGCGGTAATTTACATGATACGATTTGGCGTATCATGTAAACGAGATCATGTTGTTTTCAGAGCCACCACGTACGTCCCCGCAGCAAGATGCAGCGGTAACCGGTGGTCCTCTTCCTCCACCTCCACCATCCTCGCAGCAGCCTCAACCGTATATACAAGTAAGTTGCTTTTCTCAGAAACAATGCATAATTTTGCGTCTGAGATTATCATCATCTCGCGTCGGGAATCGTTTTCGTAATTTTTGTCTCGTGAGTAAACGCGCGCAATTTACTTATTTTGTGTTTGCAATAGCGAACAATTGGAAGAATCTTGCTTTGTTCGAGTTTATACGTAAAATGTCACTGCACGTCGAGCGAGGAAATGTCCTTAAATATTACACGAAAACGAATGAAATGAAACACTCTGATGAAAGAGAAATCAATTTATCATGCCATAGCCAGGATATTCGCATGCACCGAGAAATGTGCGAAAATAGAAAAACGGAAGAATAATGTAACGGAATGAAAGGCAATGTATAGTTGGCTTCTTTTTTCATATTTCGCTTTTTCCGAGTTCTCCAATAGCGACATTTCTCTGTTATTTTAAAGCAGTGCGAGAATTTGACGATTCTTCCACCGTACATTTCAGTCCGCTGATTCAAGACTTACTTCTTCCAGTAATTAGTAAGAAGACAAACAAAAGCGTTCGATAGTAAATTCAACACGAACCGCCGTTTCTGCATTATACATTTTATCGACTGATTCTCTTGGAGTTTTTTTAAAACTTTTGTCGCGATAAAAATGTAGAGGTGGTAATTTTAACGTTAAATGATTAATCATTTAAAAAAGTAAGTAATTTAATAAAATAAGTTATAATGCATGTGTATATAAATAGACATATTTATTAATATGGAAAACTCACTGCTCTGAAAGTCTCAATATCAGAATATTTTTTTGCTTTGAAAAGTTTCAGTATCGAGTCAACATGCATCTTGATAAATTCTCCTCGTTCTAAAGTATGTCAAGCAGATTGAAAAATTTCTTTTTATTGACGTTTGTCAACTTTAAGCTTCTTTTAGTCATCTCCGCCGACCCTACCTGTATCCGTACCGATCTATAATGCAAATATCTTCTGAAAAAGAGTATCTTCGTGAACTTTCGAGAGAATAAAATTCAATACGCGCGCGTCGCGGATACTTCTATCTGTATTGAAAGATATTGGCTAGAAGAACGTCTTTCTTGTATGACGTTACTGTTAATAATAAAAACTCTTGTATAAATTCTCCGCGCAGTTTAGAGAAACTTTTATTTTTACATTCTGCTCTCTGAGCACACAATGCACGTGAGCTGGACGTTTACATTGACCTGTTATCCTGAGTACGTCTTACCACAAAAGAGGTTTGAAGTATCGCTCGTAAATGGAAGCAAAAATTTTATAGTATGGATATAAGATTATCTCACGGAAAGATGAAGGCAAAGCAGGAAACGAGGGAATTGTAATCCGGCCGCGAAACTTTGTCAAAATTTAATCAAAGGAGCTGTAATCCCTGTACGCAAGAGAGAAATGAGTCTTTTTTTTTTAATACTTCACCGACTAGGGTTAATACCTGTGGGTTGATACCTTTACTTACCGTGGACAATCCAGCCGCGCGTATAAATTAAAAACTCTTCTAAAAAAAGCCACTGTAATTTTTAAAGTGAGTTATTAGAAAGTTTTAAATAATCCTTTAAAAACGGTTTTTACATATAAATTCATATAAAAGTCTAGAAATAATTTTTAATATTACAATCTTCTTAGAGAATAATTCAGAATTATTTTGACAATCTAGACGTATATATTCTTTAAGAAGTCATTATAGGATAACTCCGTTAAATATATCATCATTAAATATTATTTGCTGTATTTAAAATAAATATTATAATTATAATTATACTATATCAATAAAAAATTTATATTGTTTATTACTATAAAAAAAATTAAAAACACGAAGTATTTATTCCTTATATTAAAAAAAAACTTTCAAAACTATTGTATTTTTGCCGTATCCTATATGTAGGAATAGAATATACAATATGACTACTTGATCTAGGTGGGAAATATATGACTCATAAAAAATTTACAAATAGTACTTAGAAATAAGACGTAAAATGACACAGTAATTTATAAAATATGACATTTGCGGCGTAAATACTAGAGTTACTCTAAAGGGGACTTTATACATTAATAAATATAAGTAATGATCAATCTATCATTCTATGTTATATCCATATAAAATATAACTTTACGCATTACGTTGGCAAAGTATTAACTAGGGTAATTGTCTCTATTAGTGCATACCTTTAATTCAATTTGCTCATTACTGAATTAATTATTATGTTAAATATTGCAGCTTCAATTTTGTCTATTTAAAATTAAAAAATATCGGTTTCACTATTTCTTTTTTTTATAATGTTTTTTTAATCTAAAACTTGTTAATGTTTTATAATTTATTATTATATTATAATATTTTTGTTTCTATATTAGTATGCCTCTTCAAGGAACCCTGTTAACCCTATTAATCTGCCTCAATTTAGATATCTACCCATATTTGATTCATTAATGTACTTCAATTTATGTACTTACCCGCATTTAACTCATTTTAACATATAGTTACCATACTAAAACAGATAATGAGTGCTAACCAATTTAAGTTAATATTGCATAAATCATTATTTTAATTATACTTATAATTTTAATGTACACTTATAATGCAACGCTCTCACTCCAGTACAAGGCACACCAATAAAAAAAAACATAAAATCTTATGGTGTTACTACGGTATCGCATAAATTTCTTTAAATTGTGATATAATGTGTATTATATTTTAAAAGTTAAAAAATATAATATTACTTTTTTAGTGTATCATATACATCAATAATTTAACTTAATACAAGAAGAATCTTTCTTATTTATTTGTGTTACACAATATTGCGTGCATCACTAATACAGAGTAATAGAGTATACATCCGTACTAAAAGCGCGTAAAATAAGCGGAAATTCTAAATAAATCTTTCCTTCTCATCTTCGACGAGTCTCTCAGCGAGTCTCTCGATGAGATTCTCGATGAGATCCTCGATGAGAGAATCGCTGTAATTGCCGTTTGAAATTGAAACTGCTTTGCATCCCAAGCCGCGAGCTGATAATCGAGACGACGCTATTTCTTGGTTCGCAGATCCGCGGCGTCGAGGTGGGCATAGTAGTGTTAGTGCTGATAGTCTGGGCGGGCGCGATAGCCCTGTTCTTCAATCGCTGGGGCAAAATACGCATGCTGCTGCCGTACCAGCCCGACTACAAGGAGCAGCTCAAGGTTCCTGGCACCGGCGTGTGTGCGGCTGCGAACGCCGCGTACACGCAGCATCCGACGCAGCACGCGTGCTCTCAGGTAACGCATAGGTATACCGCACCCGGTCGGCGCAGCGGGCGATTCACGCCCGCGGCCACGTCGGCACCGCGCGAATTAAACCGTGGAACCCGAAGAAACCCTCCCGGCTGATTTATGAGACTAATGAACACTCGATAGAATTTCGAAATTTTCTTCTGCTGAAAGAAAGAAAGAAAAGATCACTTTAAGATTATCGTAGACGAGATATTTTTCGATATCTTGCGCGAATATTTCGAGATACGTTATGTACGAGTAATTCTTGAGAATCACACGTCATAACACAAAATTGTTTTTTTACGATGACTGAAAATTTCTAAATGCTGTTAATATAAATTTACCTAAATGTACGTTTAAGACTTACAGTTCAAAATTTATTGGTTTCTTGGGAAAATCGCACTTAATCATAGAGTATAATAATGAAATGATTTTCTTTTGTAGATCCTATTTCTAGATCTTAAAATATATTTTTAAAGTATTTTAAAGAGAGTTAATGTAATTACTCAGGATCGATCGTACATAATATATATTATGAATTTTCCAATACTATTAGCTAAAAAAGGGCTTGATTTTAATGTTCCTCTTTAATCTAATTGTAAGACAGATTCTCGAATGCTTTATCTTATTTGAAATGTATTATAATCCCCTACAGCACAGATTTCCAACGAACATTTTAAAGACTTCCAGAGTTCTATGTCCTTCGGATATCTTTAGAACATCCGATAGGGATTTGTGCTATATGAGATTTGCAATGAGATTTTATAATACAATAACGTATCGGGAGGATGGAAGGGGGGGGGGGTATATTTTACGAACGTGGGTCGGTCCTCTGATTTAAATAAAATACAAATAGCTTTGTATCTCGCGGGTAATACTTGATCGAAAACCACCTGGACCGATTTGCGCGAGATGCGAGTGTGACGAGGGTGCGACATAAGCTCCTGATTTTTCAACAACAGATTGGATCGAGCTGACGTCAGATGTCTGACATTCTCGTTCTCGCGAAATTCCGTGTTTCGATACGCGATATTGGCACTTCATTATATACATGGGACGGGCGCGATGCAATCGCCATTATGCACGTACGATAGGCTTTTGGATATTGCACGTGAGATTGTCGGCAAACGCGAAATTCGAGAAATGCCGATAAACGGCCGAGAACGATACGGACGGTAAAGGCGTAAATGTAATGGCGTTTCCATGGGTTATTAGCATACCACGAATTCTAGTTCACTTGCAAGAGCGTATTCGTGTAACGGCATTCAACCGTATGTATTTCAGCAATATGCGAATGACCGGAAAATACGTCTTTTAAATTTCGTCATTCTTAGCCTCGATTTTAAGAGGCGCAATCTTAAATGAAGAGGACGATTAACTCACAAAATTATTAATTTGCAGGATACATACTAGAACGTTATGTATTTAGAAGAGAAAGGTTTCCGATAATTATAGTGTCTGTACGCTATACATGCGCAATTATCATACAACAAATTGATTTAATAATTGTTTATATATTATTTTGTAATTATTGATTGAATTTATTTTGTAGAGAAGAATTAATTATTTATAAGATAAAATGTATAAAATTGAAATGGATTGAATAAGAGATTAAATAGTTAAAATTATAGGTATATATAAAAAGTATTATTAAATTTCGTTATTTAACAATTTTTCTCTATCTTTCACTTAAATAAACTTTCTGTTATTTTTACATTATTAATAATTTTATCTTAAATTATCGAATTGTTGATATTATATATATAATTGATATGACATAACAATTTTTAAGTATAAAAAATCTATGACAAGTAATTCAAAGAAAATATTATCGCGTATCGATTTACTATTTTATATTGTTAAATCTTTTTTTATTATATTAGTATAGTGTAAAACACGTTATGGTATTTTAAAAACGTTAAAAAAGATAATATAAACAATTATATATTGTGGTACACGTTTTAATATGTTACGCAACACAGTAAAAAAATCGGATTTATCTGAAATGCTTTGATAGTTGATACGTCAATTAAATGAATTTTATTTACGAGCTTTTGCGCAGAAGTTGCCTTTGTTATAAATTATTTTTAAACGCTTAGAAATCCGATTACATAATCTGGAAATTTGATATTATCCTTTTTAAATGAATTGATTTATTAAAATTCAAAATTATAATTAGTTTTGAGATCGATTCTGATCAATCCAAAAACGTATTTCTCAGAATGCGAATTCTGTCAATTCATAGCGCTGCACGCGTTTACATTTCAAATGAATGGAGGCTACGTTTTGTTAACGTACTTGGCGCAATAAATGAACGATGCGTGCAAACAATAGCTAACACGTAAAGTTTATTAGCTATTAAACTGACCACTTGACGTTTGCTTGACGTGAAGTTCGATTTTGCTCGGTTTGTGTAATTACACAATTCGCGGCGAACGGTTTGCTATGTGCAACAAAAGGGCTTGTTCGAGTTGGATTTGACGTCACGATAGAATTACGAACATGAGGATCAAGACAGGGTAATTAGTCGAAACTACGCCAACGTCGGGTCATTAATCCGCCTGTATAATTTGGCGTGTACGCGAGAGAGGGAAAAACGAGAATCTATTATAAATCTATTTTAGTTACGAGAAAAAGAGAAGCTGGAGGAACTCTAGACGCATCGATTTGACCTCGCCGTGTAACAGCGAGGTTTAATTCCCGGCAGTGAGTAATCATCGTAAAGGAAAAATCACCGAAATGTATATTTTCGCTTTTGACATCAAATGTCGAAATTTCTTTTTTGCGCGTTGTTTAAAATCGAATGCAATCATCTCGATAAATTCGACATACCGAATACACGTTTCGTATATTTTTTTCCATTGTTGCTTTTGTACGAGAGCAGTTTCCGATAACGCGATTTTAATGCATTGAAGCGTTTTAGAGATCAAGAGATTTTTTTACTGCTGCTGTTGCGTACCCAAAATATATGCGTGTTGATGAATTCTGTTATTTCAAGTTTTTCTTTACAATTCCTAACTACAGTATTTTTTTATAAATAAAAAATTTATTATTTCTAACCTACTATTTCGCAATTTTTAACGCGCGCGCGAAAGCATTCTACAAAATTCCAAATTTATTTGCAACGCTACATTTTGAATTGTTACTACCATTGATTTTCTTTCTCAATAATTTTTCTATTATCGCAATTTCAAAGATGCTTGATTTATTAGTGACGCGTAATAAAGGGGCGAATTAAACTTTTTCGATCACAATATACTTTGCTTTCGTAGAACGCGCATGTTCATTTATGATAATTCATTAATTAGCCATTATGAGCTACTTATATACCTCAATATGTCGCTAACATGTAAAGTGATAAATCAAATATACATAGCTTTTGTTGATTTTGGCATTGGATAATTGTCACTATAGTATGATGCAGTTTAATCGAAAATTTGATAACATTGGCTTCTGCAGCACCTGTCAAGCTTCGATGCTATTAATAGGTATTATCGCGTATTTGAATGCTATTGTCATTACGCGTCTAAATTTGGTAATCGTAATACATCGCGGTTAAGGCAACAATACAATTGTCCATTAATAAGAGAACATTGTAACCATAATGTTATCTATAAACATCAGAGTAATAACACGATGTATCCTGTATGTTACGCAAATCAAAAGTTAATTGAACATGATAGGCGCGATCTAATCACTGGGAATTAATCCTGAAAATAAACCGTTGTGATTTTTAATTGTGGTAAAAAGACAATTGCATAAATATATAGATAGTTCATTTTCAGAATTCTCACAAATTTGAAACGTCATCTATGAATAAGGATTTTTTTGTGAGGAATATTATCAGCTTTATTTTCCAATTGAACGTTAATTTTCGTACAACAAATGGTTTATGAGATATTTGCGAAAAACCGATTTTGTGCGACATTTTCTCAAGATGGCGCAGCCGGCCATGCTCTGATTCTGATACATGGGGACTTTTGAAAAAGTATATACTATTATAGACTTCTATACAAGAATCCAGCTTTGCAGCACTTTTTTCCTTTTTAAACTCTAGTTTTACTGGGCTAAGAAGAGACTTTGGATTGAATAATAAATGAGACTTGATGCTCGCGAGACGTTTGTATCTAATAATAAATCGACTATTTCGTTTCTCCGGTCGCGATGCGGATATTATAAAGGAGACTTTGATGACAAGTTTAGTAACGTAACGATGTAACCGCGAATGTTATCGTTGTAACTATTAGTTATTCGCGAATAGGATACTTCGGGTTTTGTGTAGAAATAAGCGAATACATCTAATTATCTTTGATATTATATGTTGCCCTTTCACACGCTGCATTTCCGTGAAAACCTTTTATTTATCGGGCGGTGTTTACTTCTCATGTTAAAGAGAAGTGAAAATTTTGCCGACGTGGTTTTCGCAAAAAATCTTTGCAATCACTTATGAATTAGTAACAATCGTTATTCTATACTATATCCACATACGCAGTAACATTGTACAATGTATAATATTAAGACAAGTCACATCTCGTCGAGAATTATGAAAAATCTAAAGGGCCCTTGTGTCTGTTTCGTGTAAAAATATTATTGAAGGTTTTCCTATTTTAGTAGTAATAACTAATTGAAGCGACGGAATTGATGCAATTAAATTTATCCGTTCGCGACAGGTCTGTTGGAAGCTTTGAAAATATTTCCGGAATAGTTTTAATTAGCTTGATATTAAAATTTGAATATATGCTGCCGCGTATGTGAAAGTTAACTGCGCAGAGAGAAAGATTTACATCCTCAATTTAACGCTGCAAATCCTTAAACGATTTAGACATGGGTTAATTTATTAAATATATTTGTACGATTAGTTGATTAAGTATATTATCACGATTAATTGATTTTATAGGATGAAATTATTAATGAAGTTTTTATTGTGCAGCCTTGTCTACATTTTTTTATAATATCAAATTAAACAAATGTGATTTATATACGTATCATATTGTATAATGCGATAT